GGGGGGGGGGGGGGGGGGGGGGGGGGGGGGGGGGGGAAGAAGAGCTTTAACTTGACGAGCTACTGGTGTGAAAATTCACTGGTGAAGCCATGTATTCGTTTCAGAAGTTCTTGAGAGGCATGAGTTTAACTTTGACAAAATAATTTATCGTAGTTTCTCAACAAATTATATCGTCATCGTGGTGCAGTGTGAAGTAGCATGTAGTCGTGCAGTTGGTCGAAGTTTGATATCACCGGTAGGCCAGACAACCTTTCTACAATTTTTGATGAAAAATTGGTACTGGCACATGCTAAAGAAACAAATCGCTTGTAGCTTCCAAAAAAAAAGCTATCAACAGCCTTGCCGATGAGTTGTTGGCATTTGCTACCGCTCCTCTCTGATTCATCCTTTTCCCGGAGAAAGTAAGTACGAAGGGATTTTGATACAGCCACAGCTTAGTTTTTTATTTAAAAAACAAGAAAAAAAAAAGCAGACTTCACAACAATTTAATACACTTCAGTCAAATTCGAAGTTTTCCAAAAACAAACCTCCCGTCCGGAATCAAATGCAAGTAGGGACATGAATTTACTGGGATAATCAAGAAAAAACGACAAGAACAGTGGAAAAATCCAGAAAACCAGTGCTGTGGATTGTCCTGCTAGGCCTTTTGGAACCCATAAATAAACGGATTGAGTAAAGTGTTAAAAATAACAAAAACACGAACAATATCGTAGTGTATGGAAAGTGATACGGAAAGTTGCTTGTTAAAAAACATTGCCAAAGCGAGGAAATTATAGGGTAGCCAGCAGAAAAGATATGCAAGCACAACAAAGGCACTAGTATGACAGATTCGAGACTGAAATGCTAGCCGAAATTTCCGCATCCGAGCTGCACTACTGCCACCATTACCACTTGCATTTCCTATCAATCCTGAAAAATAAGCTTTCTATTATATATAAAAAGAATTTGTCTTCGCTACTGGAACAACCAGTCCCTCTACGATTCGTTTGTTGGTTTTCGATAGTTAATTGGTACTGGTCCAAGTCTGACCCACCATCAGCTTGCTTGTAAGCAACCTTCGAAAGAGAAGGCTGTTAATGGAAACTCGCTATTGTTCAAATTATTTCCGAGTGCCTGTGCGGGAGAAACAGATTGTTATGCGAAGGAGGTTCCGACTACTTTGGGCTTCTGGGCTTGCACCTATTTGTGTTTTTTTAATGATTTTTGTGTTGCAACAGTGCACAATGCATTTTTTTTATCTGTGACTGAGGGAACGGGGGAAAGATATTGTCTAAAGTGGCATTTCATTGCTTTCGTCCGTATACAGCCATACCGAGATCAAGTG